TCGTTGTTCGTATCGTAGGGTGAAGTTGTCAATCACTACGGAGGGCTGACCAGAGGCGGAGAACTGCCTCCGCACTACATGCACCATTCACAAATATTGCAGTATCAGTACCTGCGCGCGCAACAGGAAGCCCTGACGGCCCCGCGCATAGCCTACCACATTCAAGAGACCCGATCCCCTCATCTACCGCTAGACCCGAAACTGGAAACAGGCATAGAGGACAGTCACAGTCCACCGTTGGAACTGAGACGCAGCGCGAGGACACCGCAAGATCGTACCACCGACAGTCCTCAAGTGGCTCAAGTGTACATGATGCACGGAACGGTGAGGTTACCACCGCCTCCACCGCCACCGCCACCGCCTCCGCAGTACAACGCCGGCAGTAATCCATCGGGATTGACCGGCGCGCAAGCAGCAGCAGCAGCAGCCACCAGAGGCGGCTTCTACGAACCTCCGCCGGCGCATTTACGCTCGCAGTATCCGATCGCCGCCAGCGAGGCGCCCAGCGACAGGGCCATCACCCCGGACAGGCCTAGGAAACACCAAGTGGTCACGCCGCCTCACGCCTCGCAAGTGCCACCGCAAGCGGACTCCTTCCAAATGTTGTTGCAGCGTTACCCGGTCATGTGGCAGGGCCTGTTGGCCCTGAAAAACGACCAAGCAGCAGTCCAGATGCATTTCGTGTTCGGTAATCCGAACGTGGCGAGGGACAGTTTGCCGTGCAACAGCGACGGCTCCACCCCGCCCTTGAGAATCGCTCAGAGAATGAGATTGGAACAGACTCAGGTCGAAGGAGTGGCGAGGAAGATGCAGGTACGCCAATCGATATCTATCCAACTGCCAGACTAAAACTAAACTAAACTGAACTAAACTAAATTTCGTCGCATCTCGTCGTAGAGTCGTTTCCTTTCTTTCTTCTTTTTCTTTTTTTTTTTTTTTTTTTCTTATTCGTGAACCACCTTTTCCAGATGGACAACGAACACTGCATGCTTCTCGCGCTTCCTTGCGGCCGGGACGAAGTGGACGTGCTGCAACAGAGCAAGAATCTTCAAACCGGATTTATCATGTATCTGCAACAAAAACAGGCAGCCGGAATTGTCAACATCGCTGCACCAGGATCGCAACAGGTATGCAAAGAGCGAAATACGCACGTATATATATATATATATAT